CTTGTTGCTTAATGTTCATTAATTTTTTATAAAAGTATTGTTCGTTCTACAAAAACAGCCATATCCAAATTTAAATCTTGGTACAAAATTAGAAAAAATCTACAGATTTCAACAAAATTGCATCAAGGAATAATTTTGTTTTTTATCAGAACTAAACAAATCCGAGTATGAAAATTTATAGCCCAAATATCTTAAAATTCGCTTTGGTTTTTGAATTTTATTTTTTGCTGTTTACCATACGGGATACAATTTTTAGACAAAGATGTGTATTACAAAACTTGAAAAATGCTGTAGTAGGTATTCATTTTGAACCGAACCGAACCATTTTTTGGAGTGGTTTTCGGTTCGCTTTTAGCACTTCAAAAAAAAAAAAAGCGACGGTTCGATTTAAAACCGGTTGGCTACCCTTGTTATAGTAGAAGTTTCAACAAATCTGTGCTTTCAAAAAAAAAGGAGATTCGTGTATGTAAAGTGTTCTAAACACTCTTCGATAGTAAAATTTTTAATATGGCTAACACCTGAGATTTTTAATACCTCAATCGTTAATATTTGAGAATAAATTTTTGATATAACTTATACTTCTAAATATATATCATCAGAAAATACTGAAAATTCGCTTCAGGTAATAAGCTCTTTAAAATACATTTATGCAAGTTTTATGTACCATATACAATAAAAAACTTTTTAAAGTTTCATAAATTGAACGAAAGATGGTACCTTAAGAGTCGTTCCGTAATTTGGTTTAGATCTGATCATTAAATGAAAAAATAAAATTTGTATATGAGAATTGAACTATGAACACAAGACGCGCTCAACTTTCAAAAGTAATACAAAATTTTACAAAAGAATTTTAATATAAATAAATTAAATAATGCCATGCAATTTGTACACTTTTATGTTCATTTCCGTCGATTTCTGATTCCTGGCATTCTATAGACATGGTGAGATTTTTCACGATTGCTTAATTTTTTTAATATTTCGAATACAGAAAGTTTTAACTGAACTTGTATTTTTATTATGTAGCTCATTATGGTGGAACGAACTTCAAGTTAGCAAATTAAATCTTCGAATGCTTGTTAACCTTCATATGCTCTAAAAAAACTAGCATTTTCTATTCTCATGCATTCTGAAAACTAACAAAAATCTTTCTCTCAGTCTTAAATGAGTTTGTTTTCTATATACATAACGCACATGTGTCGATTGTGGACTTTTCTGCATGCACCTATTGAGCAGAAGAAACAAATAGTAGTATGAATGTTATGTACAAAAAAAAAAAAAATTGCCCAAAATTAACGGTATTTTGTAGCCACTTGAAACTTGCACTCTATTACACTTGGCTATAAAACTGTATATAAAAAATTTGTATTAAAACTCTGAATAAAAAGCAGTCCCACATGCGTCTAAAACGACGCAAGAGGATCGCCAAAGAAACTTTTTCAATAAACTAAAAAAATAAAAAATTTAAAGAACGAAAATTAGTTTAAATTAAGCAAATTATTTCGCTTTTCAAAGCCGAGAAATTTAATGAATTTCAAGCCGCACGTTTTCATAAAACTTATAACAGTTGTATAGCTTTTGGGTCATTTTCGACACGAATACCAGATGAAGGTTAAGTACATATTAGTGGTAAAAGCAACAGTAAGTGAGTATGCATTGCATATTTTTTGGACAATGTGTTCATTCGCAATTACACTTTGAAGAGCTCTCAAGAAAAACGAAAAATTCTTATAAAATGAACTACAAGAAATGGAAAAGAAATATTCTGCTATCAAAATTTCCACTTAACCCATTCCAACTAATGTTATTTCCCCTCAACTCAACTCACATAAACTATCCTTAATTTTAGCGGCTGAATTTCAACCACTGGGCGAACACTAGTATATATTAAAAAGCGATTATTTTAAAATGAAATACCATAAAATGGCATATAAAAATCACATTTTGTTTGAATGAACTTCAGTTTCATTGTTCTTCGTAAATTCCTTTGTTAATTTTTTTCAGCATTTGATTCGATACCTCAAATGTAGTACCGCCTGAATAATTTAGCTCGTAAAACACTACTATGCTGGAATTTATAGTTTATTTATTGTTCTATTCTAGTTGATTTGGGAAAATACTCTCTGTGGAATGCAAAGGACAGCTGAAAACATTTATTTCATATGAGGCAAACCGTCTACTTCATGGTCCCCTTTTATCTTTAAAGGTGATTTAGAAGAAAGCCTTAAGAGAAATTTTAAGTTATTCGTTCAAGTCGGAAATTTCGAAAAACTGTAACTTGTATTTGGAGCTAATCTAAAACTGTAATTTACAGTTAAAAACGTGAATCTGGCAATATTGCCTATAGCAAATATACATTCTATTCCTCGCACATCGCAGTATTAAAACTAATAACGTTTCGCCAGCGACTCTTTATCACATTTTNTTTAAAATGAAATACCATAAAATGGCATATAAAAATCACATTTTGTTTGAATGAATTTCAGTTTCATTGTTCTTCGTAAATTCCTTTGTTAATTTTTTTCAGCATTTGATTCGATACCTCAAATGTAGTACCGCCTGAATAATTTTCTAAAGAACTCATTAGCTCTTAAAATACTACTATGCTGGAATTTATAGTTTATTTATTGTTCTATTCTAGTTGATTTGGGAAAATACTCTCTGTGGAATGCAAAGGACAGCTAAAAACTTTTGTTTCATATGAGGCAAACCGTCTACTTCATGTTCCCCTTTTATATTTAAAGGTGATTTAGAAGAAAGCCTTAAGAGAAATTTTAAGTTAATCGTTCAAGTCGGAAATTTCGAAAAACTGTAACTCGTATTTGGAGCTAATCTAAAACTGTAATTTACAGTTAAAAACGTGAATCTGGCAATATTGCCTATAGCAAATATACATTCTATTCCTCGCACATTGCAGTATTAAAACTAATAACGTTTCGCCAGCGACTCTTTATCACATTTGTTAGAGAGCCTTGTCACACTCTTATGTCCAAGCTTTTGCAGTTAAAGTAGCTTTTGCTGCAGCGCCTGAAAGCGTACATTCATCTTCCGCAAGCCCGTCAGTTGAACTTGAGTTATCGTGTGCTGTGTGCAAGGCAAAGGTACGGTGCGCGCACATCGTTGCGAGTAGAACCATCGCCATAAGGCGAAATATGAGACGTGGTTGCTATTAAAGGCAATTCTAAAGGAAGGAAGGAAAAGAAGAAATTACGAAAGCAACAAAGTGACAAAAGAGCGCAATTTGCACGTACTAAGGAGTAATCATTTTTGTGGAATCCTCCAGCTAGCAGTTCTTGTATGTACATGCTCTTGTTATTGTTCTACTGCCTTATATATTTATACGACTTCGATTGAATGGGCACACACGCTCCTGCCATTAGCTGCTGCCTAGATTGTACTATATAATTTATGTATGTATGTATGTAACTACCCGTACAATAAGATGACGATACATTAATAAGTAAGATTCTGTGAAAAGCGATTGAGATAAAATGTAACGATTTTGATACGTGAGCGTTGGGTTCGATTAGAAAATCGCATAAAGCTTCAATAGACGCTTTGGTTGAAATTTTAAGCGCTCGTGGTGTTTACCACAGCAAATTAGCGTCGATATATTACGTAGGTTGCGGTGGTTCAATGTCCNGCGCGCACATCGTTGCGAGTAGAACCATCGCCATAAGGCGAAATATGAGATTTGGTTGCTATTAAAGGCAATTCTAAAGGAAGCAAGGAAAAGAAGAAATTACGAAAGCAACAAAGTGACAAAAGAGCCCAATTTGCACGTACTAAGGAGTAATCATTTTTGTGGAATCCTCCAGCTAGCAGTTCTTGTATGTACATACTCTTGTTATTGTTCTACTGCCTTATATATTTATACGACTTCGATTGAATGGGCACACATGCTCCTGCCATTAGCTGCTACCTAGATTGTACTATATAATTTATGTATGTATGTATGTAACTACCCGCACAATAAGATGACGATACATTAATAAGTAAGATTCTGTGAAAAGCGATTGAGATAAAATGTAACGATTTTGATACGTGGGCGTTGGGTTCGATTAGAAAATCGCATAAAGCTTCAATAGACGCTTTGGTTGAAATTTTAAGCGCTCGTGGTGTTTACCACAGCAAATTAGCGTCGAGATATTACGAAGGTTGCGGTGGTTCAATGTCAGCTAATTGAATTACATACATACATACGTATATCGTTGCGACCGACAAAAGCCTATTCACTGCCACTGTATGGCTTCCTTGTAATTTTGTGCGCAGCAGCATTATCGAACAATACCCGTATTTATGCATGTGTGTTGGGGAAATAGCGCTGCGCCTAATTTTATAGAAACTGAAGAATTATTTACACAATAAACGACCACCAGCCAGCGAGGTTCTACTACACTTGCTCAAAGTGTTTTTGTTAAGAAATATTTGGTTTGAAATTAGTTGGTGGATAAAATGGAATATATTTTCGATTGTTTCTTCGAAAATACTTTCGACAAAATCACACGCAATGGCTTGCAGGATCGCTCATCGCGGCGAGATGTATTGGATCACTTGAATGCTTTTATTGGCGGTTGCAGTGATGGTAAGCAGGATATGTAAAATTTGCAGGCGAAATTTACACTGGACTGCTTTTTAACTTTTAAGTGTCAAAACTTTTTAATTTTTCCAAGGTCAAAACATGCACACAGAGGAGGTGGCAAAATTTGCTGTATTGGCTGCTGTGCGCTATCACCGCGAAAAAAAGGACGAGAATGGTGATGTGAGTATGGAAATATAATAGCTATCTTATATATAAATAGGAAATCATGTTTTCTTTACACCCCTTTTACGACTAAACTATACTTCATAGGTATAGAGAATTAAAAATCATTACAAAGGTATTTTGATGGTTATGTGCTTTTCAAATTTTAAATAAGTTTAACATAAAGCGAAAAAATCAATTCAAAGGCGACACTAATACCAATGTANATGCTCCTGCCATTAGCTGCTACCTAGATTGTACTATATAATTTATGTATGTATGTATGTAACTACCCGCACAATAAGATGACGATACATTAATAAGTAAGATTCTGTGAAAAGCGATTGAGATAAAATGTAACGATTTTGATACGTGGGCGTTGGGTTCGATTAGAAAATCGCATAAAGCTTCAATAGACGCTTTGGTTGAAATTTTAAGCGCTCGTGGTGTTTACCACAGCAAATTAGCGTCGAGATATTACGAAGGTTGCGGTGGTTCAATGTCAGCTAATTGAATTACATACATACATACGTATATCGTTGCGACCGACAAAAGCCTATTCACTGCCACTGTATGGCTTCCTTGTAATTTTGTGCGCAGCAGCATTATCGAACAATACCCGTATTTATGCATGTGTGTTGGGGAAATAGCGCTGCGCCTAATTTTATAGAAACTGAAGAATTATTTACACAATAAACGACCACCAGCCAGCGAGGTTCTACTACACTTGCTCAAAGTGTTTTTGTTAAGAAATATTTGGTTTGAAATTAGTTGGTGGATAAAATGGAATATATTTTCGATTGTTTCTTCGAAAATACTTTCGACAAAATCACACGCAATGGCTTGCAGGATCGCTCATCGCGGCGAGATGTATTGGATCACTTGAATGCTTTTATTGGCGGTTGCAGTGATGGTAAGCAGGATATGTAAAATTTGCAGGCGAAATTTACACTGGACTGCTTTTTAACTTTTAAGTGTCAAAACTTTTTAATTTTTCCAAGGTCAAAACATGCACACAGAGGAGGTGGCAAAATTTGCTGTATTGGCTGCTGTGCGCTATCACCGCGAAAAAAAGGACGGGAATGGTGATGTGAGTATGGAAATATAATAGCTATCTTATATATAAATAGGAAATCATGTTTTCTTTACACCCCTTTTACGGCTAAACTATACTTCATAGGTATAGAGAATTAAAAATCATTACAAAGGTATTTTGATGGTTATGTGCTTTTCAAATTTTAAATAAGTTTAACATAAAGCGAAAAAATCAATTCAAAGGCGACACTAATACCAATGTATGTACATGGTTGGGGCGGAAATGCCTCCGAAATGTATGCTTTAATATTGCCACTGAATTAAGTAAACTTGAGCTAGGAATGATATTTACGTAGATCAAGATTCATACAAAATAAAGTTAGTGGAAAAGGTAGAGAAAAAGTCAAAAGATAAATATAAAGATAAAAAACGATATATGTAGATAGAGAAAGTGATAAAGTTAAAGATAGAGACAAAGAAAAAGATAAAACTGAAAAGGCAGATATGTTATGTTATGCAATGCTATGATATGTTATTTTATGTTATGCTACATTATGTTATGGTATATTATGTTATGGTTTGTCATTTTATGTTATGTTATGCTATGTTTAGTTATGTTATGTTAAGTTTTGTTATATTATGTTATGTTGCTCAGCGCATTTCACCTCCATCTACCACAACGTACTTCCAATAACTGTTATATTATGCTGTGTCAAACTTCATACAACTGTAAATATATGTGTATGAAAAAATAAATAATTTCTAAGCAGAAATTTTAAATTTAATGGTAGTTTGTAAGATTTGAAAGCTTATTGTTAGTTTCAAAAGAAAGATTTAATAAATAAAAACATATTATAAAAAAAAACTTCGTACAAAATTTATAAAAAATTAAATAAATTTTAACTATTACACCCAAAAATTTTAACCTTTTTTTAAATTCTAGGTATGTAATTTTAAAGCCCATTAAATTTTAGTAGTTTAAAGTGCAAATTTCGAGAAGCTAGAAAATCGCGTTGATTTTATATAACTTTTTTGGCAGACGGTGTTGAGCATTTTCTCCCATACAAAAATTTGCACGACAATTACTTTTATATGGAGGGAAATCNAAGATTTGAAAGCTTATTGTTAGTTTCAAAAGAAAGATTTAATAAATAAATACATATTATAAAAAAAAAACTTCGTACCAAATTTATAAAGATTAAATAAATTTTAACTATTACACCCAAAAATTTTAACCTTTTTTTAAATTCTAGGTATGTAATTTTAAAGCCCATTAAATTTTAGTTTAAAGTGCAAATTTCGAGAAGCTAGAAAATCGCGTTGATTTTATATAAATTTTTTGGCAGACGGTGTTGAGCATTTTCTCCCATACAAAAATTTGCACGACAATTACTTTTATATGGAGGGAAATTCCTAGCACCGTCAGCAAGAAAAAAATTATTAAAAATCAACGCGAATTTCTAACATTTTAAAATGTGAGCTCTAACTACCAAAATTTAATGAGCCATAAAGCTGTATACCTTAAGTTTTTCTAAACAAATTTTAAACAAAAATTTAAAAATTTTTGGGTGTATTTGTTAAAGTGTGTTGAATTTTTATAATTTTTGTAAGAAGTTTGAAATGTGGATTTATGTGGTGTTGGTTATGTAATGTGCTTGACTTTTATAAAAAAAAATAAAAACATTAAATAAGCAGAAGAGAAAAAACCAAAACTGCAACTGCCAAAATGCCACTTAACTCAAAAAGTATAAATTATAAGTATGCCCATGTGGAAAAAAATGTAGTTAAAGATTTCTCATATATGATACGTGTGCGTAAGTAATTGTCTTCGATAAATATGTTCCTAGAAAAATGTATCTAAATTCAGCATTGAATCTGCTTATAGTATATATGATACTTGGACTGATAGGACTAGAGGCGNCTACCAAAATTTAATGAGCCATAAAGCTGTATACCTTAAGTTTTTCTAAAAAATTTTTAAACAAAAATTGAAAAATTTTTGGGTATATTTGTTAAAGTGTGTTGAATTTTTATAATTTTTGTAAGAAGTTTGAAATGTGGATTTATGTGGTGCTGGTTATGTAATGTGCTTGACTTTTATAAAAAAAATTTAAACATTAAATAAGCAGAAGAGAAAAAACAAAAACTGCAACTGAATCTGCTTATAGTATATATGATACTTGGACTGATAGGACTAGAGGCGAAACTTACTCCGTGGGCTATTCGTGATTCATTGGACAAGGGATAAATTTAATACTAAAACACAATCCGGAGCGTAAATAAATATATCGTTAAATCTCAACTTGCATTTTTACTTCGGTCAAATTGGAAGTCGTAAAGGTGCAGAATATACAAAGATAAAGTTCCATATATTATCTTCAAATAAAACACAATTAGCAGATTTCGTTAAGGTTTTTTTTTTACGCAACAAAGAAGATATGGCGGTCATTTCTTTTTTTTTGTTTTTTTTTTTTTTTTTTGTGATTATTACAAAAATACATCTCAGCAAGCATGCGACATANGGTGCAGAATATACAAAGATAAAGTTCCATATATTATCTTCAAATAAAACTCAATTAGCAGATTTCGTTTCTTTTTTTGTTTTTTTTTTTGTGATTATTACAAAATTACATCTCAGCAAGCATGCGACATGTATTAACAAACTTATTTCTTTTTAAAGGTCTGCCTTATGGGAAAATTTCATAATATTCTATACATTGCGCTGCGCACTTGCTGGGATTGGGGTGTACGAGATTCAGCTGTTGTGGTTTTGTTATTGGGTAAGTGAAATGACTTTGTACATATACATATGTACATATATATGGAGTAGAAAATACAATATGCAACAGACCATATTTGGGTTACTCATACGCCGTGTTGTTCAGCCAGTCAAGTTTATACTTACAATATAACTACGCCTAAAAAAGTTGCTGTCAGAAACAAAACACAGATTATGTGTATCAGTGTATCGGTGTATGTACATTAGAGTGGCCACAAAATATTAAAGTCGGCATTTTATTTTCGTCACCCCCTAGGATTGCTCTATATCTAAAAAAAATATACCCAAGTTTTTTTTTTTTGAAGTCAAAAAATATTACGGAGTGCTCAAAGAGCTCAAAAGTTTTCCAAGTTAATTATATGGTGAAAAACCAAATTTTCCTAGAAGTGGTGAAGAGTTCTAGAAAATCAATATTTTTCGATCGGAAATCTTTGATTATCTTCACGAGACTTCCAATACTAATATCCAATTGTTTATTTAACCATTTTTTAATACTTAAGATTTTTGTTTGGTCTCTCCATTGCATTTTCAGGGGTTTTGGCGGTCCTATAAAATATAGTAACCATGAAAATATGGTTACAGATACAGTTGGGTATTTTTATTGGAAATCTCCTGAAAAGAAGCAAGAGTTTTCCGATCGAAAAAGTTTTTTTTTTCATATAAAATACATTAAAAACTTTGAGCGCTTTGAGCACTAAATTTATTTTTGTCTCAAAATAAAAAAAGGGGGGTGGCACCATTAAAATTCCGACTTTATTTTTCCCCATGCATTTCTGGATCACTCTAATGTACATACGCGAACGTGCTTGTGAAAATGGTTAAATAACCAAAGTTATCGCAAGAGGTGTGCCACGAGTATTCAAGTGTGCGTTCATGCGTAAATGTGTTAAGTGCAAATATGAGTTTATGTTTGTACTGTCTGTGCTCTCTGGATTTATGTACATACACATACATATACCTTTGTATAAACATGTTGTACCTAATTAAAATTGTATGTTTTATGCATTATGTACACTAGCATGTATTATATTTTAAGTGTATAAAATAATAACAAAAATAGAAATCAAAAAGGCCTATAGAGTAAACATTTGTTGTAGCCTTTGTCTTTAACAAAGTATGTATGTATATAGCGACATTGGCCAGCGTACGTGTGTAAATACATATGTACGTAAATGCTAGAGAAATTGCGTGAATCAATACTGATGTTTGCACTGAAATTAAAAAAAAAAGAAAATCGGTGTTAGAAAAGCTTTTAGCAAAATTAAGAAGGCACCAGCTTCATTATGAGTTAAAGAAACAATTCAGAAAGACACATTAGCAGCATCACACTTCAGCAACATATGTTCACGTTAAGGTCGAAAGTTCGTGTGACCTTTTTAGTCAGCTTCAGCTTTTCAGTCTGCAGTCATATACTTATATTTATTCGCATCTTAAATGACTCTCAGGTTGCCGATTTCAGTGCTATGTTGGTGTTAAGGTGAAAAGCGGATTAATTAAAGTTAATTATGGAGCAGACATATGGAAGACATGGCGTTAGAAGGTCATAATTAATTTTAAGGAGGCCAACCAGTTTATTATTTTCGTGTTGTAAAAAAACGAATCTTGTGATACTTGGCTACTCACCCGTTGTTAGTTTAATTGGCTGTTAATAATGCATTTGCTTGCGTTATTTAGTAAATGATTTTTGAAACTGTTGTAGCTTGAGGATAACCAGAGACGTTTTTTTTTTAATGAATGAACAACATCATGGGTAACTCGATAAATTGGAGAAGAAGTTCGGCCATCCACTAATATATGTGTAAGCTTGCATGCAATATTGTATAAGTAAGATTATCCAGTTCTGTAGGTAAATGCTTTATCTTACAAGCTTTAATCTGGGTTAAATCTTGCAAAAAAATTTTTAAACACCCCCACAATGGAGTTTTGAAAATTTCACACGTAGCTCAAAACCCGTTAGCAATGCAATTTTAAGACTTATTTATTCCGCTGGGTGGCGCAAGAGTCGAGTTTTTTGAAAACGCCGTATATATAGTCCGATATGGTTCATATATAGAACATATGTACATATACGTATCTATTATCTACATGGAAGGAGTTAACTCCACAAAAAATTTACACGGGAGGTGGCGTGGAGCCGGAATATTTCTAAAGCCTGCATCTATTGTTAGATTTAGTTTACATTTACAATACATATTTATTGCCTACTTGAAAACAAACTCCATGAACAATTTTGCCATTAGGTGCCATAGTTATGGTCCGATTTGTTTAGTGTTTAAATTTTTTTTTTTGGTATTAACTTATTTATACTTTTTATATTTAGGTCACCAGTTAAGTTTTGAGCAAAACGGGAATCATCAAAATACAAAGTCAGATTCAGTATGAATAAAAATCCGAAGTATTTGCTTGCCCATAATAAATACCAAGAACAGAAAGTTCATTGTTGTAGGTACGAAAGTGCCTCTTTTCCCACAAATCTGATGAGATTAATCATTAGCGCGGGAGAAAGCGTGCGTTCAGAAATGCATCAAGTCAAAGCATCAGTCTCTGTTACTTCTAAATTATAACTGATGCAAATGCCTTATTTTGGCAATTAAGTTGCAATTAGGCATTTAACCATGGCTGCGCATATTGCATATTTCCATAAATTATAAGGGCTATTCGCGATTCGGTGCATAAGAGCTGACAAATTTATGCAATTGCAGAAATATGCCATGGATTGTGAGCGACCTTTATTAAATTGTCATGGTAAAGCTTTTGCAAAACAATTTTTGTGCATCAGCTTTGGTTTTGTTTATGAATGCAATGCATAGCATTTTTATGACAAATGCAAATGCGTGCATTTTGTTTGTGTATTGCAAATAATTTGCAGTACAAATTTGCAATGCAATGATGCTAGGCCATTTGCACCGGATCGCGAATAGCCCTATAGTTTTGAAATAAATGCGTTTGATGTTTTGGCTTGATGAATTTTTGAACACCCCCAGAGTTGCGCACGTCTTTTTGGACAGCACTAAATAAATCAGAGGGATTTTGCGGAGAAATCTGCACTGAGACTAAAGGTAACGGGACGGCTGACGCAACTGTCATTTGAACACATTTCTTGACCCGCTGTGCCTCAGGTCAAAGGTGAAAAGGGGTAATGCTAAAGTAAGGCGGATAGTAGAAAGAATTCCGTTGCATTGGCTTAAGAGTCACTATTTACTAAATGCCAGGACACAAAGGGATTAAAAGGAATAAACGGGCTCATATATTACGGGGGTATACTTATCGACTTAAATATACTTCTGTTTCAATTATCTAGGGGCGGAATTAGCTATTCGGAAATGACCTTGCAATCACGCTTCGCTTTTAAAGTGTAAAAATTACAGTTACATTCCAATGTATGGCATGCGACGAGAGAAAAATTATAAAGATACACTAGAACATATGCAGTGGCACTTTAGGAAGAGCGCTACTAAGCAGCAGACCAAAGGGTTAGCAAATTGCCTGTGATCATACAAATCAGCCAAGCTAAAGTAAACTAACCCAGCCGAACAAGTTCTCATTTGAAAGGGACCGGTGTCCATAACCACCAACATTACAACAATTGCAGAAATCTGGCTAAATCAACAAACAATTACTTAAATAACAAATATTGAGAGTTGCACGTTGATTAAACCCAGAATTCTATTTATTCGACAATATTTTCAGACTAAGTAGGTACAATATCGGCTTCTCTGAAGTTCCTAGGATTTCTCTTTGCTTCCAGCAAGTGCCGGTTTGGATGCTTCCTGCGCCAGCAGCCGAAAATGGATTAATAGCTGGGCATGGAATTGTACTCCTTGGCGGAAAGAATTAGGGTTTATAGCCAGCATTGTAGACATGCTACTTTTTGCTGATATCTATACTGACACCCGTACGCAATAAAGCTTAAGCGTGAAATAATCTAATGCGACAGAAAGGTAAGTCAGAAATTCCCAGATTAATCTGAAATGCATTGAGCTTAGAGCTCAGATAGAGGCTTCACTTGCAGCCAATACATAGCTACCTCTGCTTGGCACAAAAATTCTAGCCTTAACTATATAATTCAAGGCAACCATAAAGAGGTTAACTTGGCCTTGCCCAAATACACGGCACTCAAATAATTTGTCCTTTTGAGCGGTGCATGGGGAGGACTCAATGTGGGTATACGGTCAATCTACACTGCTTTGTTTTCAGGTTGCAGATTTTCGCACTAGATAAATCCATTGGTATGTATGTTCATATGTACATCTTGAAGGCCTAATTTCTTAAGGAGGTCAATCCTGGAAATTCGAACTTGAAGCGAAATACTGCTTCCTCAGCAGCAGATGTGGCATATTTTGTAGTATTTAAGTACTTTTCGAGAAAGAAGATATCCCAAAAAGAAATCACGGGTGATGGTAGCTGCAATCCTGAGCACTTCTACCCTTGGCCTACTTAGCAGATCCACTGTTTCTACAATTCTATATCACTTGTCTGTAATTTGCTTATTTTAGAAAGTAAAGATGAACCTATGTTTGTATTTGTATGAAATGTTATCGCTATAGGTTCATGAAAATAAGAGTCTGAGTGTTCCTATTACCAGAAATCCAGACAAGAGTAATGAAAATTCATTGCGTTCCCGAGCGCGACTTTGTTCTGAATAATTTAATTAGCTAAAACTTGGTTTCAGTAGATGCTATAGCTAAGATTGCTACCTAGATATCTCAGCAAATTATTATTTACTTTATTTTTCCTGGTAAAACTATTATTTATTTAATAGCCTTCATACTCAGCGCGGTTTGCCAGCCGCAGGGACTGAGCGATACCAAGCTCCTCAGAAGACACTTTTATTCCTACACTGCAGTGCATCGTGGAACCGCAGTCCACTTTGGATCATGGAAAAATCTTACTTAAACTAGTATATGTATGTATGTGTGTTCATTAGTCCTTCCAGTGCTTTACGCAGTAAGGTTTATGGTCTAAATTCTTTCGACATTTCGTAGTTTTCCGTACTTGAGTTTAGAAGGTACAAAATGTTGATCCGTCTCCAACTTTGGAAGACACGTTGCATAGTAATACAATACCAACATAGTAAAGAACATTCCACTTTTACAAATTATGGAGCGTCCATAATTTACATAAATTCTGAAGTCCGCATGCCTAATTGTGAAAGGCCAGCTACGTAAATCTTCGATAGCGGCTTGGAAGGAATATAATTCCGATGGATGGATGTGCCGGTAGCCGGAAATGCCAGTGGCGGTGGCAACGCTGGACAAGTTCCTAAAATTTCAGGAAAAAATTGTTCATTAGAAGCTGAGGCGGATGAAGACATACATGTACAATCAGTAAAAATAACATTAATAGAAGAGGGAAATGTGAACCGATTACGGATGTATCAGCAGGCAGATACGGACTTCGCAGTTGTGATGGAAGGATTGGAGCCGAATAAACGGTCAACAAGAGAGGAAATGCCAATGGAAGTTAGAATCGTAAAAGGAATATTCGGCACAATGGAAGTGCTGATATCTTGGTGCTTGTGTCGGATATGGGAAAGTGAAGATGGCCAATGCATCCGTAATCTAGTAGATGTAGCAAAGCTAAGAGCTTTGAATATTCTCAGCTAGTTGCACAGAGGTCCACATGGAGGGCACCTGGGAACAAAAAACCCCTTCAGAGGTTAAATATNTCCGTAATCTAGTAGATGTAGCAAAGCTAAGAGCTTTGAATATTCTCAGCGAGTTCCAGAGAGGTCCACATGGAGGGCACTTGGGAACAAAAAAACCCTTCAGAGGTTAAATATGGGCTTATTTAGGTCAGTCGCTCAAGTACTGGATAGCTAGATGTGCAAAGAGTTCTGCAGGTAGATGATCGAAGCCTGGAAATCATGGAAAGAAGAAGCGACATAACTCAGGCGGAAGGGGTGAGCTACAGAAGCAGGACACCATATGATACGACGCACTCTAAGGGAAAAGTCGAAAGGATCGTTCAATAAGGCAACGAAACGCGAGGCTTTCCTGGAATGAGTTCTGGTATTTTATTACAAGCCGCAACAGAAGAAAGGCCTCGCCTTTAAAGCAAAAAGTTTTGGGGAAGGGACGCTGTGAGTCGAATCAGTGATGTGGTGTATCGAATCCAACCAGTTGGAAGGCTGCTAGGTAGCAAGGCCTGCAGCAAGGCTGGCCCAGTTAGCAAGGCCTGCAGCAATTAGAACAGGAAGGGTATCTGANTTCAATAAGGCAACGAAACGCGAGGCTTTCCTGGAATGAGTTCTGGTATTTTATTACAAGCCGCAACAGAAGAAAGGCCTCGCCTTTAAAGCAAAAAGTTTTGGGGAAGGGACGCTGTGAGTCGAATCAGTGATGTGGTGTATCGAATCCAACCAGTTGGAAGGCTGCTAGGTAGCAAGGCCTGCAGCAAGGCTGGCCCAGTTAGCAAGGCCTGCCGCAATTAGAACAGGAAGGGTATCTGATCGGAATGAGGATGGTATTGTGTGAGGAATATTGCGAATCCGCAAATGATAGCTCAAAGCGGAGATTAACAAAATGGCAGAGCTTTCGATTGATAACAGTATAATCCTTTATTCAGAGTGACATCGACAGGAATGTTCGAAATTGCAAGAAACATGCTCACTAGAAACACAGGGTGGCGCAGATATAAATATAAAGCGCTGCAACTAAGCACAGAGACTTCAGTTGTGAATTAGCCAGTTATTAGTAAGCAATGTGAGAACTTTTATTTAATAATCCAGTAGCAATCCGNTGCAACTAAGCACAGAGACTTCAGTTGTGAATTAGCCAGTTATTAGTAAGTACGAATTCAACAAGGGTTTTAACGTGTTCTAAATGGTCCATTCTACGGCAATGTGAGAACTTTTATTTAATAATCCAGTAGCAATCCATCCTGAAAGATGTGGAATTAGACCTCTCATGGGCGTGTTTATTAAAATGTATGTAAGCTCAAAGCAAACACCCTTCCACAAGGCTGTTGCTGAATAATTAGAAAAAAAGCGTACGTGAAAAGGCAAGCGAATCATTGGGTCGTCCCAATGCGATTTACGCATCCATCAAACACTTCAGGCTCGTACACTTGAGTATTTAAAGTTGAACATTGAATGAGGGGAGGGTCTGCGTGACAGCAATTTCTAATTGCCACAATCTGTGTTAGAGTACAAATAGGATAAAGCACGAGTGAGTTAAGGGCGCTTTGATAGGATGGGACACAAAGTCAACATAAAGGAAGCGCGCGCTGTGCCGTTGTAGCGAATGTATAAAGTGTAAACTACTCTTGTGTGTATATGTGTACAAACGTTCCGCCAAACTTGGCATATGCGTGTGTGCGTGCAACAAGTGCATTTCGCCGTATAAGCATATTTAAAGCAATTATTTCTGACAGCACAGTGTTGCCGTGTATCAGTTAGGTAACGGCTTTCAGCTGCGTGCGGTGTTCTCTCTGTGGCTAAATGAGTGAGTCTATGTACATCTGGTCGGTCGAATGTAAGCACAGCAATATAAGCACACAAGTAGGTACTTTTACATCAATATGCATATTTGTGTGCTCATTTCCTCCACATTACTTGGTATGGTTGGCGTATGCAAATGCAGGATTTTATTGGAAATCTATTGGTATTTGCGCCACTATATACACATGTACATATTTGTATGCATGTACACATACATACTAATATGCTTTTATATGTATTTATTTTTGATGCAGAACGCGAAGTGCCCCATAGCCGAATGGTGTGTGGCACAGCTTTCATGCTCGCATAGTTGTAGTATTGCCAATTGCGCAAATTAAATTGCCAAACTGGCACACATTGGCATGGCATATATACATACACGCACACACATGCCGAGTTAGTTGCCAACAAATTTGGCCCAGGCTAAAATTTAATTCATGCCGACTAGGCGTATGAGTAACAAGAAAATTAAAGCGAGCCATGTGGCTGTTAGAGTTGAATGCGTAATGTAAATGTGTTTAGCATTTGAGCGTTTTAGAATTTAGTGTATTAAGTGATTTTGATAAAAGCGATGAAGAATATTGTAATATTACATTATTGTTGTGTCTATAGAAATGAATAATTGTTTGAGAAAGTTCGCGTGCGATGAATTAGGGAGTGTAAAGTGTGATTATCTGAAGGTTCATATCATTTGGGAACCCATTCTTACGCGGAAAATTGCAAAAGAAAACACAGACAAAGATTGATAGCTGAGTTTGTTTTTTTAATAACTAGTTTTCCAATTTTAAAATTGTGAAAAAGACACCTCTGAAATCCGCTCACATTGCAAAATAAATGTTATTTAAATTTTTTTAGGATTTATCTCGCTATTTTTTTTGGGGTTTTCAGTATTTTTTGTGTTTAATTTTTCTAAATTTTTGTGTTTTCCTTCGGGATATATTCGATACCTAGTTCGGGACAGTTTGGTGACTTCTCTTGGAGCATAAAATTGAAGTCATTTATTTGAAGCCATTGCAAAGCTGAAAAATATCGGATTTAAGGTATATATACCTACTCATATCGATGCTTTTGGCTATGAAGGTATTCCGTATGTAATAAATAAGTAAATTATAAATCATAAATTCCAAGCTATATGTTTAATAATTCATTGGAAGAAATTATAAGAACGTTAGTATGGTTTAAGAAAAAATTTGCAAAAATTTAAATACGATAGTTTTAAAAATCTGTGAAACAAAATGATCCGAATGGAATTTTATAAAAAGAAATTCTTTACAGCATATAAAATATGAAAAAATTTTTAGTTTCTAGATACCGCAAACAAACATAATTTTCTATATGACATCTACTTTTCTCCAGACTAGATGCCAAGAAGGCTTTTAAATTTGCTGGAATATTTCGGTTGATTCCAAGAGTTTTTTTAATCAACTCTTTGTACCTTACTCGTTTTCTTCTTTGTTGTTCAATAACAGAGCTAGAATTCCACTACCTTTAATACTTTTCTGCACTGAAAATTCATCGAGTTCCCTGCTCCACTCGAACAGTAGGAACCCAGACAATGTGTGTGATGAATGTCTCAGCCATCTCGTTGAGACATCGGCGGCACTGAGCAACAGCTTTTGAAGTCAGCGACCTTCTTTTCTAGAAATTTAGTAGCCGCCTGACTGTCAGTGAACTTGTAAATATATACCACGACTAGAAATCGTATCGCGCAGTTCGACTGAAGCGACCTTTGAAATAGGCATCAGTTTTGCCTGAAAAACACTGCAATAGTCATGAGGGCGGAAGTTAGCTGCTTTTAAGGAACCAGCTGATTGGCTGCTATTGTACGCGATGGTCGTCTCATGCAAAGATGCGCCTCGTGTAAACTAAGCGAACATTAGGCGAAAACCAGGGCATGTGCCACTAGCAGGCTGAGAGTGAAGCAGATACGACCTAGGTAATTTTTCAGGCTCCCAAAGCTGCAGCTCCCAATTCGTGTGGTAATGACAGTATACTGTCAAATCGTACCGCCATTGTTATAGCCCAATAGGGGAGGACGGGGTGGGATTATATCAACAACGCCATTTGCACTGCCCAGCCTTTGCTAGACTGCACTTGGAATGGTTCTTCCTAGCTGACACGGAGGAGCTCTCTAAAGTCGACACCTGGCGCCAGCCAGACGTTGTTTATTATCTGTACTGCAATCACATTGGAGCAATGCTCTTGATCTAAGTTTGACCCTTGTCTAAGGGAAACCATCTTAACCTAATAGAGATTTTTTTTCAAGCAGACTGTTTGTTAAAAAACCGCACTAAAAAGCCAAAAATGTTTTCAAGAAAATTTACCTTGCAAACCCAACTGTATTGAGCCAAAATATTTTAGTAAAAAAATGCGGTTTCTCGCGTATGACTTGTGGCGCACTTAAATACAAAATTTTATGCTCATACATACATGTATATAGACTTTTGTATCTAACAATTAAAAACCCTAAAATTTGCCTTTCTCCACCTATTTTTTCACCTATTTCTTATTTCTTTCGTTTCAGAGGAAATATATTCATGCGAAAAAACTTTTGAACGCATCTTTTTAGGCGCTTTATTCGGGCCACATGCACCACACTTTATAGCCGGCTGGCGCAGTGACTTTCGTGATCAGGTTAAACGGATTAGCAACGAATTTTTTACAAGCAGGCACAGCTGGGCCTCAAAACTAATTGCTTTTTATTTTTTCTTGTTTCACATACCATGCAAACGTTTTAAGCTTCCATCTTTTATTCTTGCTATTTTTACCCTCACTCTTAAGTAATCACTTTTTATGCATTTTTTTTTTTTATTTTTTTTTATACCTCCTCTGTTTGTGACTGTCTGCAGTTTGAGTTTCGGCTTACTTTTTGTCTACTGGAATAAATTATGTTTTATTTAATTTTTTATTGCCTCTTATTTACGACACGCTTCCGGCTACTGGAATAATCAGGATGAAAACACGCGAGCCATGGTTTACTTTTTGCATCATGCCACATCACTCAGCATGCAACTGCCTGTGTGGATCGCACGCTTCGAGCAGGAACGCATGATAAAGTAAGTGAAAATGCCTGTTTGCGCCAATTTTAAAAATATAAATTTTCGCTTTGTCTTTGAATTAAGTTGCACCTGATAGCACCTTGAGCGATATACATTTTGTGGTATTTATCGTGCGTACTTAACGACTTCAAAAGCCACCAGTTTTTAAATAAGCAAAATCAAATTAATTGTGTCAAATTATTTTATATCTTAGGGCTCACATTGAACAATTGAAGCTTAAGGCAATCAGCCTGCATAATTTTAAATAAAGTGATTTTAAATTTTGCTTTACTTTGTAGGCTTTTGTGTAATTTCAAGGAAAGCCAGGCTCAGGCTTTGGCATTGCAGGTGCTATAAGAAAAATCTTTATTGATCTGTGTGTGTGCGTACATTAGGATGGGTCACACTGTTCGGGTGAGAAGAAATGCGAAAGGCGTGTAGCAAGATGAAATGTAAGAAAATCACCCAAAGAAACTAGGGGAAAATATGGACGACAATTGTTTTTGTAGTCACACGATTCGTACAATAGAGCGAACTCCTATTGAAATTTGGAACTTTGGATTTCGTTAACCGATTTCAAAAATTCTTTTTGCATCGGAAAGATAGTGTGTCAGAGATGGTCCCATACTAATTTCCATGTAAAAAACTTTATATGAGATTTGAAGTCGGTTTTGTTTTTTTGCTTAAAAATTACTTGATTACTCAAATGTGAATTTTTATATCTCTCGGCGGACGCTAGGTTTTAGTTTTAGACCCATAATTTCTTGGGCAAGTTTTCTAAAAATTCTTCGTAGATTACGTTTTTGCTTTACTCCTTTTGCCAAAAACAATTGATCCACCCTAGTGTACTTACTTGGAAGAGAGAGTGAGTCGAGTTAAAGAAATTTGATTGCGTTAATTAATCATCCGTTGAACAGATGATGAATATGCCAGCGGCATATGGCATTTTAAGCGAGTAGAAGAAGTGAAGAAACACACACACAAGAAAACAAACTAAAAGACCAAAATAACTGAAAATTTTTTTTCGCACCGTAAATTTTTGTAATGTATTTTTAAAGAATCCCTTATTCAGAATAAACTTTTTGTTTGTTTTCATGTAATTTTGTTAGATAATAAGGAGAAGAATATTTACTTGTGTATATTAAAGAGCTTATTTGTTACTTAAATTGCGGCATTTTCAGTGTGGGTTGTCTGTGAAGATCTCGTGTGTGATAAATTGAAGATTTTTAATTTTAAATGAATGTTTTAAAGATGCTGACAAATGCCATGATTAATAAAAAATGCTGCCTAGTCATTTCAGTTTGTGTGAAAGGCTGAAGAATTGTTGTGAATCTATTGTGTTGCCATTTATAAATGAGTGGAAAGTGTTATGAACGCATTTTACATGCGACTTGAGGGCTGTTGTATTTTTCTGAAATTTCGAAAATATAGACCGGATGTAGTGCCAGTTATGTTACTCTCATTGCCAGTTTCATGAAAGCGATTTAATGAAAACTGACACGATTTAAAAAATCATGTTTTACTTATGTAAATGACTGGTGAAATCCTCAGTTATGCAAAAATATTTGTATTTATTTTTGGAAGAAAACTTTTTTTCTGCCTGATAAGGAATTTCATGCCTTTTCAGGCAACACTTGGCTACTTTGCAGTTGTCAGTACAATATCAACTAAATAAAATTTTTGAAAGTCCGTAAACTTTTGGGTAATCAGTTTTCATTTCTAGGACTTGACAATTTAAATAAAAACTCATTTCATCTAGATAATTTTTCTGGTAGTTAATATCATGATAAAAATATAGTAAGGTAGAACCGCTGAGAGTCACTTTTAAAATTCTTGACGTTTCCAAACAATTTAATTTTTAAATTTACTCACAAGCTCACACACACATTTTCATTTTCAATCTCAAGCAACAACAATTTCGAACAATTTCAATTTTTTATTTTCACTTTTATATGATTTTAAAATGTTGGCAAACTTCAAAAAAAAATCATGGCCGACAAATTGAGAGAACGGTTATACCTTGCTGTGTTTTTATCATGGTTAATATACTGCAATAAGCTGTTCGAAATTTATTCAGATTTAAATCTACTGGCTGCCGAAAGACATAACGCATATGAGTAAGTTAAATTCATTAAATTTACTTTTACAATATATCTATTTTTTTATAGGAAATAAGCTACAAATCAACCGTTGAAAACATAGTTTACCAGACTAACAAAATACATTTGAAAAGGACGTTCACAGTTGATAGAATTACCGAATACCAACTAGCAGTTTACCAAAACTACTGAAATGGGTGTGAATACCCTTAATATTTGAACCATTATCTGACATTTTACGGGCGCACAGCTTTTCAGCTTCCTTTAGAAGGGGAAAGTTTACATGAAACTCAACTTTGCACAGGGCACACCACGAGAAGGCTATTGCGATTTAATCTTTTATTTGACTTCATTTGCTTTTGGAGTGTATCTGCTCATCTGCTTTTGAATGACAGTACAGTACAATTAGAAGATATTCTAATACAGCATCCAAAGGAAGTACACGCCATATTGCAACATATAGTTAGTTACAGCGGTTAAAATAGAAATAACAATTTAGCTAATTACTAATAGAGAATAATTGCTACAAGTTTTCTGGAGTAGATCTAATATAAAAACCATCAAGTTTAAAGCAAAATTTAGATTTTCTTGCAAGTAGTTTACGCTGAGTTTCCTGGTGCTTAGTGAAATTCAAACAAAATAGAAGCATGTCCATTGGACGAACTAATTTTTTGATAGAGAGTACCCTTCTCTATTATAGGTTTCATAAAATGTGTAAGAAAATGAAGTTTTCCATTAAGCTAAATTTTACAAAAATCAGTAAACAATTACCATTTCCGTCCAAAATCGTGGAGAGCCAATATTTATTGGCATAGTGAATTTTTCGCAAAGTTTTTTATTCTAATTTATTTTCGATAATTTTTTATAAAAAGATATTTCATTTTACACTAAAAACTATAAAAATAAAATCTCTAAACTTTGTGCAATACTTAGGAAAATTCATTAAATTTGCAACTTTTTATTTAGATTTTTTAGAAAAATCCTGAGTATGCAGTTTTATAGCCCATTCAAATTTAGTATAACAAATGGCAAGTTCGAAGTCGCGAGGAAATCGCGCTGATTTTTGGTAATTTTTTTCACGCAAGTTCTTCCATACAAAGTATATTCGTCGATTATTTTTTGTATGGAGAAAATGTGCAACACCTTCCGCTAAAAAAATTGCCAAAAATCAACGCGATTTTCTAGCAACTTTAAACTTGCATTTTGTTATACTAGAATTGAATGGACTAAAAAATTGCGTACTTNGAAAATGAAGTTTTCCATTAAGCTAAATTTTACAAAAATCAGTAAACAATTACCATTTCCGTCCAAAATCGTGGAGAGCCAATATTTATTGGCATAGTGAATTTTTCGCAAAGTTGTTTATTCTAATTTATTTTCGATAATTTTTTATAAAAAGATATTTCATTTTACACTAAAAACTATAAAAATAAAATCTCTAAACTTTGTGCAACACTTAGGAAAATTCATTAAATTTGCAACTTTTTATTTAGATGGTTTAGAAAAATCCTGAGTATGCAGTTTTATAGCCCATTCAAATTTAATATAACAAAGTGCAAGTTTGAAGTCGCGAGGAAATCGCGCTGATTTTTGGTAATTTTTTTCACGCAAGTTCTTCCATACAAAGTATATTCGACAATTATTTTTTGTATGGAGAAAATGTGCAACACCTTCCGCTAAAACATTGCCAAAAATCAACGCGATTTTCTAGCAACTTTAAACTTGCATTTTGTTATACTAGAATTGAATGGACTAAAAAATTGCGTACTTATAATTTTTCTAAAAAATCTGAATCAAAAGTTGCAAGTTAGTGCGTAAATTTTATGAATTTTCCCGAGTTTTTCACAAAGTTTAGAGATTTTATTTTTATGTTTTTTAGTGTAAAATGAACTATAGTTTTATAAAAAATTATCGAAAATAAATTAGAATAAAAAACTTTGCATATATTGTGAAAAATTCACTGTGCCAATACTTTTGTTCGTCACTGTATGTACTTGAATCTATTTACGTTACTCATACGCCCCCTCTTACTTTTGCATTTACAGCTTACTACATATTACTAATTTTTTATACGATGGGTGCGAATTTTAGCAGCAAAGGATACCAGTTTGATATATTATATGTTGTTACCTTCTTCACAAATTGCTTATTCTTTTATTAAGGCAACTTTATTGGCAAACTGAAATCTGCTTTAACTTTCTCTTTACCAAGCCCTACCTACTGTGCATACAAATGTGAAGTTGAATAAATGTTATACTCGTAGTTCATTGAAAATAGCCATTGTATGTTTGAAGTCTTTGTTATGCATTAAGCTTTATTGAATTTTATTTGAATGTAAAAGTTTTGGCGAAAAGCGATTGGAAGCCAAACAGTGGACAATTGGTATGGAATATGGATTTGAGCTCTGTGCCTTTGCTTAAGATTGTGTTGGAATTGGTAATGGCTAGAAAAAAGGAATTAAATTTCAGTTAACTGTATGTAAAATATACATACGTTGCTTACTTTTATCGACATATACATATATGGGTAAAGTGTATTTTTTTTTGTAATCATATGTTATTCGGTGGCAACATCGGCACATTTTCCTTCGAAAATTCTGCCGACCACACCATTTCGGTCAACGATGGGCCCTACAGAGGCGTGATAAATAATTTTTTGTGGCCGGATGGCGAATGAATTTTTTATGTATGCTCGATTTCCAAAAATGAATTGTCAAATTAAAGTGCTGTAGATTTGCAATAAGGTTTCAATTTTCGAAAAGCGTTGCCAACCTAAAAAAAAATTAATTAAATTTATTTAAACAATTGAATCAATTATTACAATATCGGTATCAATCGAAATTATTTTGATAATGCTTTATATATATTTATTTATATATTATATTTGGCCACCTGTTCAAAAAATCCACTTTAATTTAAATTAAGGAAATTTGGTAATTAAAATATGTATCAAAATATGGAGGCAAGACGAAAGAGGTTTAAGAAGCTAGTGGTTGCAAATACTCTGAAGAAGGTTGCCACATGTTTCTAAATTCGAATTAAGTTAACTCATACGCAAGTTATGTATAATAAATATTAAAATAAGGGTGTCAAACGAAGGAGGGTTAAGAAACTTTTTTTTTGAATATTTAAAAATATGTTGAGGTGCTTGCGGGGGGTTGCCACATGTTCAAATTATTTAATAAGTTAAATGCATTGCTAAAAGATGGGTTTGCAAATGGTTTATTTCTGTGTTAAAAAAATTCAACAAAATTTTGATCATAAGCTATTTAAAATATGTATCACAACGCCAGACAAAAGCGCCATAAAAAGATTTTAGTTTGAAAATACTTTTAAAAAAAGTTACCACCTGTTCCTCCCCTGCGATTTCTGTTTTCGGAGGTTGAGAGAGTGACCAAGGCAGCCCCCAACAGCAGGTGGGAAAATCTGCACACCTGCATGGTATCGCGATCGCTCTGGCCACGGCTCGACGAACGACGAACATCGAGTTTATTAAGGTTGTCAAAGTCAAACGTTAAGCTTCTCACAGGAATACTAACGGGACACTGGACCATTGGCCACATGCCCGCCAGGTTCGGAGCACCGCATAACGATTTCTGTAGAAGCTGTAGAGATGAGGAGGAGTTAGAATCCGTCCAGCACTTCCTTTTTGAATGTCCAGCACTCCGAGGAAAACTCCTCAAATTTCGTGGGGACCATTTCTTCGAGAGCCTGGATACCTTAGGGAAGCTCCACTGGAGGGACTGCTTGGATTCGCCAGGGAATCGAGATGGTTCAAAGACATGTTGAGATAGGCATGGGGAAACACCCCTGGGCATCGCAATGGGCCTTTGTGGCCTCCGAGTGAACTCTTCTCCGAGCCGCCCACTTGACCTAACCTAACCAACCAGCTATTTCAAAATTCAAATATTAAAATCCGAGAGCCTAATGAAATAGTCTCATGAAAACTTTAGTTTGGCAATATTTTGGATTTGACCTATTCGAAATGTCATAGCTATCTATATATACATACATACATAATATGTATATTATGTTAAATACGCGATGGTATTTTTTGTAATGAATGCCATTAGGTCAGCACCATTCCTGCGATTTTAAAAAAATTAGGCGATAAATTAATAAACTTGTTAAGAAGGTAAAATTCCATTTTGGTATTTTAACGCCATGCGGGTTCACTAGTTGTAGCGCTTCAGTACTTTGTTAAGATTACTAAGAAAGCGTGTGGCTGGTATATTATAATTGATAACAGTATTGAGCTTCAGGCCAGTTTTTATGATTTTTTAACGATATAATACTTTTTTTTAACAATAGCGGTAAAAATTATCAGGGTCTACCTCGGCGCACACAACCAGTGTTCTACTTCTACCCACTGAGCTAATTTCTCTATTTTTTAAACGTAGATTCAGTAAATTTCTAAACAATTTACTTCTGATTACATTTTTAATAGCTCCGAGGTACATATATTCTGAATCAATGTTTCCTTATTTATACATTGGTAGCATTTTATTATTGGTTTACCATAAATAATCAATAATCGTAACTTTTCTCTTAATCACGCTCACATTCTTCTTTATATTTCTATAATTTTTTAGATTCATTGACATTCCCATCGAGTCGTGCGGCCGCTCATCACCATTACGTGTTGCCTTACAGGCGAGTGCGCCTGACCTGCTACTAATTTTATTAAGGTAAGCAAGTGTAACGAAATGTAACGAAATGCAGCGAGGCAAGAAGCAGTTTGGAGTGACAGCGTATAAACTCATGTAATAAAATATTTGAATCGCCCTGTTTTTTTGTTTGGTTTTAAAATAATTTCAGGGGCTTCGAACCAAATGTGACTGGTTCCCAGAAAAATTCACAAAGTGCAGCGCGCGACTGAAGCGTGAAAGTTGTGCAGTATTTTTTTATTTTAAATTTCTTTTTAATTTGAAAATTCATTTTACTCACTTTAACTGCGCATTGTATTGCATTTTAGTGCAAATTTTATTGATAAGTGCTTCGCATCAATCAGACTATGCTGCAAATTCACTCATTTTTTCCATTTCACTTCACTCAGAGGATCTACAAAAGCGGCATACCGACAGCTGCATTGTCAGAAATTGCATCCTATTTGAGGTGTGTGTATGTGTGTGTGTGGGAGTGTATTAGACTGGATCGCGAAAAAAATTTCTAATTACATTTCGTACGGACAAATTATTGGTAAAAATTATTAAACTTATCATTGGCTAGTCGCTATTAATGCGTTTTTTAGAACTCAGGGATTGTGGAATCGCCACCATTTTGCAAACAAGGCTTGTGTAACTCAGAGAAGTATGTAGGTCATCAAGCAAGTAATATTTCCACGAAATTTTCGAACCCCAAAAGCAGTTTTCCCCTTTATATGGCTACCGAGCAGGTCTAATGTGTAATTGTTTATTTTCGAATTATCAAAATATTTCACTTCATTGCACAATACTCGCGAAATGGTGCTTCAGCCAGCAAACGATGCATTTTCTGATTAAAAGTATTGAATAAAATGAAAATTGAAGTGAAAACATTGGAGCAGAAGCGCACTTTTCTCTACAGAGTTGCAAAAATACATCGAAGAATTTGCTGCCTTCATACAAAATACCAGCAGTTGCAGCAACTGCAGGAAAAAAATATTTCAAAGTTGTGAATCTCGAAAATTAGAAATGCTCCAAACTGTGCAGTATTATTGTTTTAACTTTTTTACACTTAAAAAAACTTCCATGTGGAAGAAATTTGATCTCCTCGTAGTCTCATGGCCATTTGGTAAAACAACTGCTGCAGCAAGCTTTGTAAAAATGAAACATCGTATTGCAGCGCTACTCTTGCTGTGCGGGTGCACGAAATTGAATAAAAGCATAAGCTGTAATAAGTCAAAAACAAATTAAAATGGCGGATGAGAAAAAAACATAAGAACCAGAAACCGGAGCAAGAAAATTTGGCGCGTGAAAACAGCTGCTCCATACAACATTAATATCGAGAGCACAAGCAGCGAATTCCTTTTAGTGTGAGGGTTATTTGCATTAGAAATTGATCGAATTGAAATAAGCAAAAACCAATGAAAATGCCGCTTTAACAGATAGTTAGGTGCTGGAAAATAACTGGGGATATAGCTTTAATTAAGATACGCATCTATGTACTTGATTGGTTGGTGTAAGTGGATTGTCACCCTGTTGACAAGCAATTAGACAGGTTTGCAATTTTGATTCCGCAACTCAGTACGGCATACAGAGAGAGGCAGCTGCACACTGAAATATTTGCCGAGTGTCTTTAGCGTCATCCTCGGAGGGCTGAACACTCGCACAGGAAGTCTTCGGCTGTATCTTTTGAGCCTGGTTCATCGCAACTGCGACAGAGCCTGCAGAAAGTTTCTAGGCATCTTCTTTGGTCATTCCTAAGAGAGATTCCGTTTTACGTGGTTCGTAGAATACCCAGAACTGCCGGATAATCTTATAAGATTCTGTTCGGTTCCACCTCTGCTCGGCCTTCGAGCGATAAAATTCGGTAATCTCCCTGAGCGAGGCGCGCATGTCCACCGCGTGGGACGCATACAATGCGGAGCCGCTCCTTGCTAGTTCGTCCGCTGCCTCGTTTCCGTTAATGTCCCGGGACCCAAATTAAGATAATTTCGTATTGGTCATAAACATAGGCCAGCTCTCTCCTACAGTGTCCACTAGTTGAGATATAACAGAGGTAGAAAATAGTGCCTGAATGGCAGCTTGCCTATCCGAGATTTTCAGCTGCGTTCCCACGGGTACATTCACTTTGATGCACCTTACTGTCTCCTTAATTGCCTGGGAAACGCTTGCGTTGCTTATATTGCTACATAAAAACCCCTACACCTTCCCTGCATTCCATTCTTGACCCGTCTATAAAGTCAGTGAAGACCTGCAAGAACTCGGCCTTTATTCCAGTCACTGCGGCTTTGGTATCTAGTGCGGGGTTTGTAGTGAATTCAGCGGTTTAATTTCAGGTTCAGTGCGTCTAGGACGGAACTGTTTCTGATGTACTTGGTACTATTTAGCAAATGTTTTGGTACATGGTATGGCTAGCAAAAGTAAAACGAATGAATAAATGTTTTTCAGAAATGTTCTTTTTTCTATTTGCTGTAAAAGCCGATGGGAAAGGAATGTAGAACACCATATTTATTAGAAATGGCTTCCATTTTTTTGGATGTCGAAGAATGCAAGCCATGGCCTCTGGAATGGTCCACAATTTATAGTCCAATCGATTGAGGTATGGGCCTGAAGATGGTCTTATTTTCAGCTGTGAAATATCTGCCAAGCGTGTATAATCTTCTTTGATCTTGCAACTACAACATTGGTCTTTGTAAGGAAACAGCACAGATGAGAGTTTTCTGTTACAGGAGGGCCGTGAACCCCCGCTGCTCCACAGGATGAAAACTCTTCCCGTACATTGGCTAAATGCGTCGTGTGATCTCTTGAATATCGTTCAAATGAAGACATTGATATACCAACCGTGTTCCTTCTTGGACGGAATCTATATAATATATATAAACTCGATAACATCCTCGAATTTTGTCTTTCTAAATTTATCAGCTTAAAAAATTACCTATTCGTCTTTGTGAACCGAAAAAAGAAATTTCCTCTTGCATTGGGTACAAATATTTTTATTCTACATTGCACTGAATTTTTAAAATAATTTTTGGAATATGTTCTGTATTCCATATTCCATATACTATATTCTATATTTTATGTTCTTTATTCTATATTCTATATTCTATATTCTATACACATATACAAATATCACTACTATTTAGTGAAAGTAAGGCCGTTCTAAATTCTCCGAAATTTCCTTTCCATAGAATCAAAATAAAATTCTTTTGCCAAGAAATTTAAATTATTTCTCTTTAGTTTCTCTCCTTGCTACAAAAACTTCAGATATGTATTGGCAGCCAGCAAATTTAAGTAATTTGTGGTATTGATTTCTGCACGAGCAGAGATATGAAATGAAGACAGACATACAAATATCGTAAATTTGTTGAATAAGCAAGCGGTGCCACGCCCCATTTATTTGCATTACATACATATGTATGCGCTGTCTAATGGCGTTCATTTGGCGCTTAGCAGCGTCGGTTTTGTCCACTAGTCTAGCTGTCTATCGAATTTGGTTACACCGCATGCCGCATTGCTTGGTTTGACGAATAGCTTGCCAGTGCGCCAAAAAGTGTGCTATGTATACGTAGTTATATGTTTGGTCTAGCAGAATGTGCTTGCCAAAAGTGCGGGTGCCAATAGAAATTTTAAGTGCGCCAGATTTTTATTGGACTTGCAAACAGTCAAACAGTGTGCAGAGAGATAGCGGAGGAATGAGTGAATAACAGAGGCGTATCAAAGAATCTCTAAGATAGTTAAATGTACATACATATGTACATACATAAAGGAAGAAAATATTGGCACAAATTTGATAAGCGGCACAAGTTGAGTGTTGTAGAGTAAATATTTGCTAGGCTGAATCTCAAACGAAAACTTACAACTTCGTGGGGACACACATGCACATGGACATATGTGCATAGATAAATATGTATGTATGTATGTAGGTATATATATAGCCCTTGAATTGCTTTCAGCACATTGAAATGGCATTGATTGCAGAAATTTTTTAAAAGAGTCGGGCAGTAAATTAAATGAAAGTGATTTGATATTGAAAAGGACCAATGGCATTTTATTATCACTACGGCAATACAAATTTTTAATTTTGTAAAGGAGAAGTATTTTGTCTATGTCATCAAAAGAATTGTACAATCAGCGCCTTTACCAGTTTGAAAAGCTTCAAGGCTTAATCGGGAAATGCTAATAAGAACTTTCAATGCATTTTCGAAGCATGGAAATGTGAAAAGGAAAATAGCTACACATAATAAAATAAATGCGCCCCAAGGCGCAAAAGTTACCTAGAACTCGCTTTTATAACACAAACGAAAAAGGATTAGTTGATGGCGATTAAATTTTTTAAAAATACTTTTCGAAAAACAAAGTGATGTCAAATGCAAATTATCGAACGGGATATAATGTAATAATATCTATATATCTAATAATATATAATCTATTATTATAATAATAATCTTAATATATAAAAGTCCTGTGCCACTCTGTTCGTTTACGCTAATCTCCGAAACCGCTTAACCGATTTCAATGAAATTTCGTAGGTGTGTATTGTTGGTTCCAACTTAAAAGATGGGACAGTTTTCAACCTGAGAAATTTTTTCAATGCTCCTCGCATCATTCCTAGAAATCCCGTGTCGCTATGCTCGCTAAGTGAACTTCAAACTGTCCATATCCGAAGCGAGAGTTTTCCGATCTTATTCGCGGCTTCGCTTCATATGTATGATTATGTTGGGGAGAAATAGGTAGGATAGCAACAAAGTAATGTATTTATATATATAAACATGCGTATATCAACAGCAACAAAAAATTTACCGTTTAGACACCATCCAATTTTATCCATTCCCGTGGCTGATGTTTGAACCGTAAACAGATCAAATGAAACATAAGAAACAATATGGCTCTTCACACCGACCTCGGTATTCGGTAGCTCGGTGTCCGGTAATAATTTCGAATATTTTTTGAGGTCATTTTGTCTAAAAAGCTAAATTCAATTTTAGCGTTTTGACGCTATGCTAGTTCACTAGTTACCTTAATTACCCCTTAAAATTATCGAAACA